TGGTGTCCTGGTAAACTGTCTTACTGAGAGGGGAGAAACCTTTTGTAGCATTTGCTGATTTCTGTGATTGATTTTTAACTATCAATGATTTAATAACTGGCCTACAAAATTCCTCAGCACTTAACAACCAAATCTCAGCATGTCTCAGAAAGTTATTGGTAATAACTTTCAGAGACACAGTAAGGCTGGTCTTTTATTTACATGTGTAGGCAGCTAGACAAGCATGCGCAGAGCAAGGATGATGGGCCACATACGGATGGTCACCAAAGTGGAAAGCTCCAGGTGCCTAACAGGCAAAACTGGAAAAACAAGGACCTTGCCCCACCTAGGGTAACCTTTCCTCCCCCAGCATATGCAGTTCAGACGTCCTGACCTCTTGTATCTCTGGTCATATGGTTCATACCTCCCTGACCTTTCCTCCTCCAGCATGTTGCTACTCATGTGAATTAGACCCCCTTAGATGAGGAATGAACAGAGGGGCCAGGGAATAGCCCTAAAGCATTAAGCCCCCAAAACAGTGAAGTTCTGATCTCCATCAAATACATCTAGGCCTCAGTTGTGTGTCAGTTCCAGGTCCGGAAAAACAGCAAAATCAGACAAGTGACACAATGGTTGACATCAGGACCAGCCACATTGACTAATGACCCCCTGCCCTGGTGCTGACCAATCAGTAGAGACCATGACCTGAAAGGACACAGCAGAAAGCTGATGAATATTCTATTGAGATCCTCTTCTGGGACCTCTCCTAAAAGCCCTTAAGATGGAGGACACAGCTGCTCTATAGCGCTTGCCCGCTCCTTTCCCCACTCACTTCCCCCATTTTCCTTGCCACCCTCTCTCTCTCTCTCTCAAGCACCAAGGGCCCTTCTTTTGCCTCTGTGACTTGTTTCCTGAGCCCATTTCTTCTATAGCTTACTTCTTCTGCCTCTGTGACTTGCTAAATAAGCTTTTTCTTATAGTTGGAGTCTTGGCTCTGAATTCTTAGCAAGAACTCAAGTACTGAGGTTGCTGAATCGAGGTCTAATTTCTGGTGCTATTTCTGCTGCCAATACATTATTGTTAATAATCGTATATTTTCCTATTTGTTTCATATATGAGGGAGGACCCCAAAAACCCAGAATTATCTCCTGGAGGGAGGGCATTGTAAGACAGGATTCCTCACTAGATGTGTATTCTAGGGACCCTTCTGTGTCAACTTTCATTGTTGTGAGAGGCTGTGTTCAGCTTCGGTGAACTGTTTTTGAAGACTCTTCCAGTGCCTTTGCCCATTTCACGAGTGATTTATGAGCACACCTACCCACACTGTGCTGAGTGTTCAGCCGTTTTTGACCACAAACGGAATGGCCCCTATGCCCCACCCTCCCTATTCACCTGATCTCACCCCAAGTGACTTTTTTGTTGTTTCCCTGGGTGAAAAGAGTTCTCAAAGGGAAATGTTTTGCTGATGTGGAAGAGATGAAACAAAAAATAGCAGAAGCACTAAAAGGCATCGGAATCAATGAGTTCAAAAACTGTTCTGAGCGATGGAAAAGACATCTTGATAGGTGTATTTTACCAAATAGAGAGAGTACTTTGACGGTGACTGAAGTTTAAACATGTAGGAATAAATACACAATTTTAATAAATAAATTCTGGTTTTTGGGGGGGTCCCTCCTCATATACTTTAATATTTTACATGTATAAAAATGTATTTTACATATGTAAAAAACATCATTGAGATATAATTCATAGATTGTTATAATACAATACCCATTTAAAGTATACAGTCAAGTGGTTTTTAGAATAGTCACAGAGTTATGCAACCATCATATCACCCATGTTAAAACATTTTCTTCATATGGTGTTTGTCTTTCATCACCTGGCTTATTTCGCTTAGCATAATGCTCTCCAGTTCCATCCATGCTGTCACAAAGGGTAGGAGCTCCTTCTTTCTTTCCATTGCATAGAATTCCTTTAACAGGAACCTAAACATCAAAACAAATAAACAAGCCAAATATAAACAAAGACACTGAAATAGAGAACAGGCTGACAGTGACCAGAAGGGAGAGGGGAGGGAATTTCAGGGGAAATGGACAAGGATTTACAGGAACAAGTATAAAGGACACATGGACAAAAACTAGGGTGCAGGGGGTGGAAATGGGAGGGAAGTGGGGAGGGCTAAGGGTGGTGGTGGGCTGGGATGGGAATAAAAGACAGAAAACTGTACTTGAACAATAATTAAAATAAAAAAAATAAAAAAATAAAAAAAATGCTAAAAAAACAAAAAACACTTTCATCACCCCAGAGAGAAACCCTGTACCCCTTAGTAGTCACTCCTCATTTCTCCCCAGCTCTCCCAGCCCGATGTAAATACTAATCTACTTTCTGTGTAAAAATTTACCTATTCTGGACATTAGATATAAATGGAATCATATAAGTGGTCTTTTGTGACTGACTTCTTTCAGTTAGCATTATGTGTTCCATGTTGTAGCATGCATCAATACCACATTCCTTTTTGTGGCTGAATGTCATCTGTTTCTTGAGGTATAACTCACATATGGAAAAGTGCACAAACCTTAATAGTATAGCTCAGTAAATGTTTACATATGTGATCACCAGTATTCCCGGAAGACTTTCTCAAGCCCTATGCTAATTAATCTCCTCTTTTCCCAAATTTTCTCTTTGTCCTCTGGCTTCTATTTTTTATTAGCTTTGTCTGTTTTTTGACTGTCATATAGATGAAATCATAGAATATGTGTTATTTTGTGAATAGTGTATACTTTTAGTGACTCTGCGTGCTAACTTCTAGAGGATAAATTGTTCCCTCTACTCTGTAGGAAAATCACTAATAAATTCAGAAAATTGTACATTTGGGTCCTTGATCTATTCTTACCCCTTTTAAAAAATGTTTTAAAAAGGATAACACACATCTAAAAATGAGTGTTTTTGCTTATTTTATAGTTTTGGAATGTCTTAAACTAAGCTTATATAAGTGATTTTAAAAAAGAAATATACTTTAATTTTAAAACAATTAAAAAAATCTATCCTTACCTGAAAACAGGACAAAACAATGTCTTCCCAGTTTCTGGATTTAGCTCAATCAGGATATGATCTGTTTAGAATTTAAAATTCTAAGGGAACATCACTATAGCCCAACAGAAATCAAAGGGGTGTTAAGGGAATATTGTGAACAACTTTGTGTCAAAAATTTTGACAATTTAGATGAAATAGCTTCCTAGAAAGAGACAAATTATCAAAACTGACCCAAAATGAAAAAGAAAATGTGCCCTGGCCGGGTAGGTCAGTCGGTTAGAGCGTCATCCCAATACACCAATGTTGTGGGTTTGATCCCCAGTCAGGGCACATGCAAGAAGAACCAATGACTGCATAAGTAATTGGAACAACAAAGCAATGTCTGTCTGTCTGTCTGTCTGTCTGCTCCTCTCTACTCCCCTCTAAAATCAATAAATTAAAAAAAAAAGAAATAGAAAATGTGAATAGGTCTATCCCAAATAAAAAAACTTGAATTAGTTTTTAAAAGTCTTCCTGCAAAGACAAGTCTAGGTCCAAATGGCTTCATTGGTGAATGGTATTCAACATTTAAGGAAGGAAAAATATCAATCCTATGCAAATACTTTCAGGAAATGGTGGAGAAGAGAACACTTACCTATTTTATGAGGCCAACTATCAAAGCTAGTGCTATTCTTCTAATAGCACAAGAAAATTATAGTTCAAAATCCCTCACAAACTTAGACACAAAGTTCTTGTTATATTAACAAATTGAATTTAAGGACATATATGATGATTTATTATAATATGATCAAGAGGGTTTTCACCTAGGTATTCAGGGTTGGTTTAACATATTAAAATAATTAATTTAATGTACCATAATTAATAAAAGACAAAACCAAAATCCAACATCTTTTTATTATAAGGACTCTCAACAAACTAAGAAGATGGGAGATTTTTTAACCTGATAAAGGACATCTACAAAAAACTTACAGGTAGCACTTAATGGTGAAAGATTGCCTCAGACTGGGAAGAAGGCAAAAATATTTGTCATTCCCATTTCTATTCAACACTGTACTAGAAGTTCCAACCAGAGCAAGGAGGAATAATAAAAGCAAATTAAAGGCATCCAGATTGGAAACAAATAAGTAGTTATCTTTATTCACCGACAACATCATCTCATATGTTAAAAATACTAAGGAATCTATCAAACTGCTAGAATTAATCATTGAGTTTAGCAAAGTCATAGGATATAAGATCAATATATACAAGAGGAACTGAAATTACACACACTAGCAAGGAACAATCCAAAAATAAAATTAAGAAAACAGTTGCAGTCACAATAGCATCAGATAGAATAAAATAGGAATAAAGTTAACAAAACGCCTGAGAAAGGCTTTCCTTTATAAAGGAAAATCCATACCTGCCTTTTTATTTCAGCTTTGCCTGTAAGTAATCACATATAATTCATGTGACTTCTCTGAACCTTGTTTTCCTCATCTTTAAATTGAGGATACCAAACTATTGTACTACTTGCTTCACAGGGCTATTATGAGCATTAGAATGTATTTACAGTAGAAAGATGTACACACTGATCATTGTACTCAGTAAAGTATACTGGAGCTGTTTGCCTTCGCAGTCCCTTAGTTGACGCTGTCTGAAATGCACTTACAAACCTTGGCAATTTAGACACATAGAACAGTGTTGGCTAGTTCTGCCATGCAGCAGAGGAGCCGTCATTCTGCACCCAGACATCTTGCTCAGTCTTTATCCTGAAATCACCAGTAAGACATTTATCTTTGAGACCATGATTTACCCATTGGTAAAAGGTTGCCACTTTCACTTGTCATTTTTGGAATGCCTTTTTTTCTTCTTCATGCTATAAAGTTTTAGGAGGAATTTTAGTCACTGCATGTTAAACAACTGATTGTTCTTCAAAGTTGTCATTTTTTGAGTATTTCAGTTTGTACCATTGAATTTAACTTTTTTTCCCTTCACTTTCCTCTTTTAAGGGCTTACGGCAGCCAGCTCCTTTTTCTGATGAAATTGAAGTAGACTGTAGTAAGCCCTATGTCAGGGTAACTATGGAAGAAGCCAGCAGAGGAACTCCTTGTAAGTAAAGGCCCAGTTATTTTGTTGTTTTGCTATTGTTTTTAGCATTTAATTGTATTTATCAAATATATACCTACTTCTTATAATCTTCCCTCAGTTTACCTATAAAGGCTAGTTGGGACAGGGGGATGAGTTCCTTCTATCTCCCTTGCTGCTCTTTTGGGAGGATAACTACAATATAAGATTTCATTTTTTTCTTCTTATTACGTACTTGTTTCCCAGGATGTTGTCACAGCTTTGAGCTGTAGCAGTGCACATTTGCATCCTCGGCTGTTGTCACAGTTATGAGATACAGCAGAGCAGAGACAATAAGACATTAGCCTGAGCTGGATTTTAATCTTGTCTATTTTTACAAAGATCTGAATAATATGTCAGGCCGTCTGTCACATTTTTTATAACCTTCAGAATTGTTCCCACATCTTCCTTTCTATCAGTGAGCACCCTGGCTATGATGCTGTTGATCATAGAGGACAGAAATATCCCAAGTTGAGATGCTCCTCACTTAATTTTATTGATATAATTTTCCTGTTTTTTTAAGACTCACTTTATTATTATCAAAACTCATACTCTTTATTTTATGCTTGGTTTACATAATATATGTATTCTAGATACTCTTGTTTTGTGTAACTGGTTTTAGGGGTCATCATAAATAGAAACTTCCATGAGCATTTGTTGTGGATACAGAGTCTTGTAGACAGCTATCCTTACTTTCTAATAAATTCTTCTGTTCCCTTTTTTTTTTTCATTCCTTTTTTATTTCTTCCAGTTACTATGGTAAGTATTCTGTCTACTGTGTAAACATAGGTCTGGATTCAAACTCAGGCAAGCACTAGGGAATAAAAGGCAGTTATAGCCACAAATCTTTACAGAAGATATCTGTGTTTCTTATTTGTGTTAGCATATTTGCTCCCTGTTGTAAAACTGAGGAATAGTGAAATACAGGTAGAAAGGAATGCTGGGCAATGTTAGGCCAGAGATCCCAATACCCCTGGACTGTATCTTGGCTATATGGAGTATAGTGCTGTTGGTTCTCAAAATTCCAGAGAATGCTTTCCTTTTGAAAAAGTGTTAATACATGTAGATCATAAGCCTTCTGATTCATGATATCATGTTTTGGGTTTGGCTCCCCTTGCTTGAGTAATAGACAAGGCTAATGGGGTAGGTTAAATGACAACATGGAAAAACAGACTATATGTAACAGGGTGTAATGGTGGGAGGTCACATTTCAAAATGCCACCAAACTGTTCAAGGGGTTACATTCAGATGTGATAGTAGAATCTCTTGAAGGCAAGAACTGCTCACGTACTCTCTAATGACACTCGTTCAGAATGCAGTACCGCCCTCAGGTCTGATCATGTTAACTATGTCAGCCAGTTTGTTGCTAATCTGTCCATACCACTTGTGATACATAAAATGTATGTGTGTAGATATACTTTTCACAAATTTGGAAGCTTATAATTAACAAGCACTAACTAATCTAATTTTAAAAATTTAGAATAATAGAATTTTACAAGTAGTTTATTTTTGAGGTAATACACTTTACACTCTTTACTATATACATGAAGGAATTAAGGTCCATAGAAACTTAGAAAGTTTGTTTAATAATAAAACAAATAATTAATGATAGAATTGAAGCTGAAACCTAGGTTTTTCCATCTTTGTGTTCTTTTCACCGTGGAGTGGTGCAACTCTTCATAGACATCAGTTATTAACAATAGAAGACCATCAACCAACTGATTGTGTTCTAGGCTGTACAGACAGTCACAGATTAGCCTGTAAAGTTGGCCAGTCTAATTCTATCTCCAGTATTTCTCCTATATCTCGTTATGTCTGTTCAATTTGATGTTAAATAGCCAATACTCTGGTTTCTCTTCAGATCATATAAATCTTTTGCCTTTTAGATAGCTAAATAACTGACTGAATTCATGCCAGTGCTGGACAAGGGATAAACCAGTAATGAATCTATATACATATATCACAGTGAATTTTAAACAAATAATTGGTACAAGGGAGCATTCCTCCCTCTACTCCCAGGTTTTCACTTGGGAGGGTAAGGGAGTACAAGAGGGAAGTTTGTGTAATCTAGTAGAAAACTCAGTACCCAGAGGAAAAAAAACAAATATGGCTTGAGAGATGAGAATATCTCTTTTGAAAGATTAAAAAAATCAGTGACATGTTGAAAGATTAAAAAAATCAGTGACAAGAAAATACAGAATATGAAGGGCATTGGAAATCTGTTAGGGACAAAATGTTTGGGTCATAGATATGTGAGAGAATGTATCGAAAGACACCCAGGTCTGCTTGGCCTGAAGGAGAACATCTAGTGACTTAGCCAGCAGTAGTGCAAAGGCTGTAATTTGTAATCCAGATCAGAACCATTTCCAGAGTGAATGGGTTTGTTCTTGAAAATACAGAGACAACAGATATAAATCAGAGAGAAGGTATGGTTATCCTGGCCAAGAGCCTCTTGGTGAAAGAATGGATAACTTGTGCTTTCTCCTCAGATTTTCTAGTTTAACAGTGGCCCCTTCTGGTCACTTGGTTAATATACCAGCCTGGGTTCACCAAAGACTTAGGGTGAAGTCGGAGGGAGTTGAGAAGTTGGGAGGCTGGGGAAATACTGAAGAGGGCAAGAAGCACATCTGGGGTTGGTGTAAGAAAAGGATTCAGTGGTGGAGTGGCCTGATATGCGATGATTAGTTACTGGCAAACAGCATTCTATGCTCTTTTCACTATCAGGAAATCTTACTTTGCCCTTGATATACACTAATGGCAATAACAAAAACAAAACAAAAAACAAACAAAATTACTCTTAATTTTTGTATTCTATCCTTTATCTTTTGGGATCAAATAAAGTGAGATCGTAGCCACTCTGGACTTGCTTGGGAAAGATTGAAGTATATTAGTTACTTCATGGTCATTATTTCTAAAATGTAGATGAGAGATTATACTACTCAGGTTTTGTTTTGTTTTGCTTTGTTTTATAGATAAGGAAACTGAGGCTTAAAGAGGTTAAAAGTACAGAGGAAAGAGAATGGTTGGCAAGCTTGAGTTATAACCTTTCTCACTTTTTAGACCATTTTATTTCTCAGTTTTTCATTGTATTGGTATATTTATTTTATTAAAAAATTTTATTACCTGTATTACAAAAGCAATACCATACCTAATATTCATAAAGTACCAAAAGGTATATATATATAGAGAGAAATGTCTTCCTTTCACCACTGTCTCACAGCCACCTAGTATCCCTTTTAAGGGCAACCAGTTTTACCAATTTCTTGTGGATATCTAAGCAAATAGTGTCTATATCCTCCTACTCTTTTAATGGCTGTATCATGGTATAGTCAGTGTTCCGTTGAAATTTAGGTTGTTTCTAAACTTTTGCTATTACAAACAAACAATGCAGCAATGAATGACATACATTTTTACAAATTTATCTGTGAGATATATTCCTAGAATTGGAATAGCTGGGCTAAAGGATATAAGCATTTGTCATTTGACCTTTGATAAGATATTGCCTAATTATCCATCTTAAGTTGTATCAGTTTATATCAGCAAAGTATGATTTCTCAGTTTAAAAGCTACTTGCTTATAGATAAAGCTGTCTGGAAATGAAAGTCCGTAAGCTTCCTGAGAACCAGTTTCCTCCCGCTTAATTCGTTTTCTTACCAGACAGACTGGAGAGAGAGATATCTTATCCTACACTTTCAGTGTGTTATATCTGATAAGACTTTGGCCCTTCTTTCCCAGAGTGATGTATGTGCTCCTACTCTTTCTGCTGCTACAGTGAAGTAGCTTTTCCTTTGTACACATAGTGGGAATATTTTACTAGGACTGGTTAGATTTATCATTTGAAGCATGATGAACCATTATATCAATTTCATTCTCAGTGTATTTATTTGGATTTGGAATTAGTCTTGTGACCCAAGAGAACACTTCCTGGCTTTTCTTTCATAGTCCACTACCACAAAAAGTAAATTGACAGTTATTTTCTCACTGTTGGAGAGAAGAGGAAAACCTCTAATATAAAGTCCTAAAATATTTGAGTTTGATTTTCAAATCTTATGTAAGTAGTATATCACCCTCTACTGAGAAAGTATAACACATGCTCACTATCAAGGAGAAATGCTTGGCCCTGACCGGTGTGGCTCAGTTGGTTGAGCATCATTCAGCAAAGCGAAATGTCGCCAGTTTGATTCCTGGTCAGGTCATGTGCTTGGGCTGCAGGTCTGTTTCCCAGTTGGGGTGTATGTGAGAGGCAACTGATCAGTGTTTCTTTCCCCCTCTTTTTCCCTCCCTTACCTTCTCTCTAAAAATAAGTAAAATGTTTTTTTAAAAAAAGGAGAAATGCTTGAAGGAATTCCATCTGTTATCCCAGAGTAGGAACTTGGAAGCAATAAATGGATAACTGGTACTTACCTTCCTTCTTTCTTAACCTCACCTTTCTGGATCACTCCTTACTCTCTGGGCAATAGCAGGGAGGTTTATTTTCAAAGCAAAGCATTAGTAATTAGTATTCAAGGCAGCTTGAAAAAGAGAGAGCAAGCAGCCAGATTATAGTATAACTATATTCTGTTTATATGTAACTGAAGTTTAAACATAAGCTGAAAGGGAGGATTTTGAAGTTTTCAACTTAGCTGTTGTATAACTCTTCCCTTTCACTTCTAAAATAACTTTAAGAAAAAGCAATTGTGATATCCAGTTACCTGAACAGTTTGGTACAACCACTCTAACAAAGAGAGTTAATGGGTATGACGTCAAAAGAGTCTTTGTAGCTGACGTCTATGATGTTTTTCCTCACAATCCCCAAATTAGAGTGACTATCCAGAGAAGAGAGAGGGGTATACAAAGATGGAACAGTCGCACCATGCCATTTCCCATTTGTCAAATATGAGATACTGAATCAGTGTATTTTTTGATAAATTTTCTTTTGGATTTAGGTGAGCGACCTGTAAGAGTTTATGCAGATGGAATATTTGACTTATTTCATTCTGGTCACGCCCGGGCTCTGATGCAAGCGAAGAACCTTTTCCCTAATACATACCTCATTGTGGGAGGTAAGGAGACATCTTTTATCTTTATAACCTGAGTGTATTGGCTCTTGGTTTGGCTTTTAAATGAGGGATATAGTACAGCCTCTCTAAAACATGGTGTGCAAACCTGGAGAGAGAGAAGTTCTAAGCCCTTTGGACCTGAAATGTCCAGTGTTTATCTTACTGTTTTTAGCTGAATGCAGTCATGGGACACCCCTCTTGCCTATTTAAGAATGACATTTACTCTGGATTTCAATTTATCATTTTGAATCAGCTGAATTACAAAATTCAGCTTAACAAATGTTATATGATACAGTCTAGTCTTATAAAAATAGGATACGAAAACATTTTTTAAAACTAGGATACGAAAACATTTTTTAAAACTTAATTGATGCACTAATGTACAGCAGGTTTATTTCAAAGGTAAAAGTGTTAGTCCTGTTGGAGCCTCTCTTCTCCAAAGTGAGAACATATTAGTGAGTGTTGCTCCTGAAGGTGTATTTTGGATTAGAAAAAACATTGTTATCTGGATGCGCTACCTCCAGATTTTTCTCCAGGTGGGGAGAATGGTTACAGTCCTAAGGAGAGATTGGTGACTGAGGAGTGGTTAAGCAAAGGGGGCTTTGACTTACAACTTTCCGATATGGTGAACTCAGTTTGCAGTGATGAGCTAACACACAACTTCAAAGGCTTCACCGTGATGAATGAAAACGAGCGCTACGATGCAGTGCAGCACTGCCGCTATGTGGACGAGGTGGTGCGCAATGCCCCCTGGACCCTGACACCGGAGTTCCTGGCAGAACACCGGGTAAGAAACTGAGTGTATCTCCTCATTCCCTGTTTCAGAATTTCTTCAGCTCTCAGGACTTTTGGTAGTTGGTAGTTTTCCATTAGCCTTATTTTCCTTCTAGCTTCTATGTAAATTCACATAGAGGAGATGACAGTGATATTACTACTAATAATAGTCATCCCCAACATGTGGGGTTTGATGGTTTATAAGCACTTCTACATTTATTATATTTTCATTTGCTCCCCGTAACAGTCCAGTTGGGTGATTATTATTTCCATTTTATATATGAAAACAAGGCCAGAGAGACCAAATAACTTGGTCCAGATCACACCCTGTCAGGTAGAAATTAAATGCGTCAGTTAGGTTCTCTGTTCCTGCTGCCATCACCACACACTGTAGGTGTCCATCCTCATAACATCTCAGTCTCTTTTTTCCCAGGTGACTATGAGGATACTTTTATTAAAGCTGGGGACAGTAAAACAAGGAAGGGCTTAGCATAGAAGAAGCAACAGGAGAGCCTAGGCTGGGTTACCTTAGCTCACTGAGAAGTCAGAGAAGAGGGAGCCTTGGGACAGGTTCAGAGAATAAGCCTGGGACAAGGTGCCAGCTGCCCATTGCCTTAGAGCTTAGGAGACACGTGCCTGTGGGGAAAGAAGTGGGGGAAGAAGCGGGAAGAGAAGAAGAAAGGAAAGCGAATGGCGCAGGCTGCTGCCCAGAGGGAGAGTGTGTGTGCTGGGACCAGTCTCTTTAGAATACACATAGCCTCAGCCATGCTCTCGAGTTCACATCACAGGACATCAGACAAACATAGACTTCTCTTGTGTTGACTTGAATTTAGTTTCAGGGCTTTGATTTTGGACTAGAAGTTGTATGCATCAGAAATGAGGAGATTTCTCACTTTTGCTCACTAAGTTGGTATTATAAAGCCCCTTACCTCTTTGTAATTCTCCCACATTAAAGCAACAGGTTATCTGTAAAAGGTAGGTAAAAAGATTAGAGGGATTTATCAGGTCAGGTTGGAGGATCTCAAGCTTGAGGAACCTGCAAGCATATCATCAGTTCTCTAGAGGGGTTGTATGGAAGGTTGAAAGTAAACTGTTCAATGAAACAGGAAGGAACAGAGTTAGCCAAAGTGCTTCAAAAGTATTGCTTTTGAAGGAATAAGAAATGAGATTTCAGTGAGTGGGCTGGGATGGGAGTAAAAGAAAATTGTACTTAAACAATAATTAAAATAAAATTATTTAAAAAAAAAGAAATGAGATTTCTACCTCAAAAGTATTGCTTTTGAAGCATAAGTCTGAAGTTAAGGGACATTTGATATAACTATTTAGGATTAGACACACCTCTTACAGTTCTCTAGCTTTTCTATGCCAACATTTGGCAGCCAGTGGTACCAAAGGTGTAATGGACAAGATTATTCTTAGTAACACAGGCAGGCAGGCCCAGGCAGAAGAGGTTAGAGGAACTTCTAATTTTGCTTTTCTTCTTGTTAGCAGTGTATCCTCAACCACAAGTCTTGCTTGCCCACCCAAGTTTCATTTTGCTACCTATGGATCCCTGATAAGTTGTTTATGGGTAACTGAGATGTTAGCTGAGAGTCCCTGACACAGTCCTGTTGTGTCTGTTTCACACTACAGTGGCCTCTAGGAGTTGGTTATGGTGGTATTAGCAATCATGTTAGCAAAGGGTGTATGGCTTATTCAGGAAGGAGTAAATAAGTGAGGTTTAGCATATTTCCCAGAAATATTATTGATCTCAGTGCCAGTGGTCTCTTCACTGTTGCGAGAGGTATTGACACTAGTAAAATGGTGGATCCTTAGACCTAAAGGTCTTTTATGGCTTTGGATTTTGCATTTCTCAGGAGTACAGATGTATATATTCAAGTTCAAGGGTCCTTGGTTGCCATTTTTATATTCCCATTCATCTCTAGTGGGAATATAATTAACAAAGAAATGACTTATTCCTCATAATTTCAGAAACTCTCATTTGACAAATTCATATAGACCCCAGGGGGATGAGGAGGTTTCCTTTCTTCTTTCCTCAGCTCCACCCACTAACTAGCATACCTAGCCCAATTTTCCAAGCATGGTGACTGGTATATAGTGTGAGGGGAGTGCCTCCAGTAGACCAGGAAAAGTAGCTGAAAAAAAGAAACTAGCTGACTTCATATTTATGATCTGTAAATACTTAAGTCAAGTGGCCTGTGAATGAAGCATGGAATTTATGAGCAAAGCAAAGAGAGATAAAGAGAAAATGTCCAGTTAGGACTGGCTGTTTCCTTTTTGTCCTTATTCTAGGCCTGAGTTTGTACTGGTTCTTTCTGAATGGCTGGTATCCCGGGCTTTAAATGATGTTTCCTTATTTTCAGATCGATTTTGTAGCCCATGATGACATCCCTTATTCTTCTGCTGGAAGTGATGATGTTTATAAGCACATCAAGGAAGCAGGTGAGTAAGTTGATGTGCATTTTCAGTTTATGAGTGAGTCTCAGGGGAAGTGACAGATTCATCCACATCACTACTTTACAGAGAAAAGTCTATACATTGAGAAATTCAGCATCCACTTTCAGGTCACACTTTGGATAAGAGGTTAAGGTGAGCATAGTACCGAAATCCAGCAATTCTCAGTCTAAACTTCTACCATTCGTATCTCTTTAAATTTCAGGAAAACTTTCTCTAACCTCATATTTTTCTTTTTTGTTTTCTTTCCTTTTTTTGTAGAGAATAAAGATTTTATTCACTCTCCAAGAAATGAGAGGGGCATGGTGTGGAGAAATACACCAGCATTACGGAGTTGGTGCTTTGAGCTTTTATTGGATTACAATCAGATTAAAAAGGGTGGCAGGGGGTTGCTGTTGTGTGGCCCCCTGGGCTGTTGGGGCCTCAAAACACCAGGGTGCAGTTTGTTCCAATGTTATCTTCCGCCTGTAGCTATAGGGAGCGGTTAGTTCTGTTCTTGCTTTCCAGTAATTTCCAGTCCTGGGGACATAAGCTCAGAAGAGTAAAATGGCAGTAATGTTAACAAGGTCATAGGCCTGCTCAGCAAATGGTGCCTTGCTAGCAAATGGCACTGACTTTATCCTTTTATCCTCTTCTGGTTTAAAAATGGATTTCTTCTTCTTCTTCTTTTTTTTTTTTTTTTTGAGTTCTTTTTTTTTAAGTATATTTTATTGATTAAGCTATTACAGTTTTCCCAATTTTCCCACTTCATCCCCCTCTACCCTGCACCCCCCAACCCTCCAGCTTTCTCCCCTCCCTTACTTCATCCATGGGTTATACATAAAAGTTCTTTGAGTCCTCTGCTTCCTATACCATTTTTTATCTTTCCCTGTCTATTTTATGCCTACCAGTTATGTTTCTTCTTCCCTGTACCTTTTCCCCCCTATTCCTCCCTTCCCACTGAAATCTCCATGTGATGTCCATTTTTCTGATTCTGTTGTTTGCTTAGTTTTTGTTTTTTTCTCTTCTTTTATTTTTTTTAGGTTCTTTTGTTGACAGTTGTGAGTGTGTTGTCATTTTACTGTTCATATTTTTTATCTTCTTTTTCTTAGATAAGTTCCTTTAACATTTCATATAATAATGGCTTGGTGATGATGAACTCCTTTAGCTTGACCTTATCTGGGAAGCACTTTATCTTCCCTTGAATTCTAAATGATAGCTTTGTTGGATAAAATAACCTTGGATATAGGTCCTTGCCTTTCATGACTTGGAATACTTCTTTCCAGCCCCTTCTTGCCTATAAGGTTTCTTTTGAGAAATCAGCTGATAGTTTTATGGGAACTCTTTGTAGGTAACTGTCCCCTTTTCTCTTGCTGCTTTTAAGATTCTCTCCTTATCTTTAATCTTGGATAACTTAATGATGATGTGTCTTGGTGTGTTCCTCTTTGGGACTCTCTGGGCTTCCTGGACTTCCTGGAAGTCTATTTCCTTCACCAGATTGGGTAAGTTTTCTTTCATTATTGTTCAAATAAGTTTTCAATTTCTTTCTGTTGTTCTCCTTCTGGCACCCCTATAATTCGGATATTAGAACGTTTCAAAATGTTTCAAGTTGTCAAAGAGGTTCAAAAGTCTCTATTCATTTTTTTGAATTCTTGTTTCTTCATCCTGTTCTGGTTGGATGTTATTTCTTCCTTTTATTCCAAACTGTTGATTTGAGTCCTGGTTTCCTTACTGTCACTGTTGGTTCTCTGAATATTTGCTGGATTTCATTTTGGGTATCTTTCATTTGTTTTTTCAGTTTTCAACCAAGCTCAATCAGATCTGTGAGCATTTTTATTACCAGGGCTTTAAATTTTCCATCAGATAGGATGGCTATCTCCTCCTTGCTTAGCTCTCTTTTTTGAGGTTTTGCTTTGTTCTTTCATTTTGGCCCTATTTCTTTGTTTGGGGCCTCTGATAAGTTGGCAGACCTTGGGGGCAGGGTCTTAGGTATTCACCTGGGCAGGGCAACACTCCTTGCTGAGCTGCAGAGCTGCCTGTGGGGGAAGGGCCAGAGAGGGAGCAATGCAGCTCTCCTGCTCATCTGTAGCCCACTTTTCAATGAACTCTCATGTGAGACTGGGAGCTTCTCCCACTGCGGCAACTGCTGTAGTCCATAGCCACCTCTGAGTCTCAGTTTCCCCTTAAGTCAGCCCATCCTGGGCAGCCTGCTGCCTCACTGCGATTTCTCTCTGTCCTTCGCCTTACCGGTCTGGCTGTACTGTTTAACTGTTTCTTTAATTCTGTGGTTGTCAGAGTTCCATGCAGTTTGATTTTCTGGCACTTCTAGTTGTTTATTGATTTTAGACTGGTTGTGTGAGGAAGCAAAGGGTTTCTACCTATGCCTCCATCTTGGCCAGAACTCCTCCCAATAAAATGAATTTATTCTTAATGTCCTTACCCAGCTCTGGTTTTTGGGGAGTAGGGATGAAGTTCTCATCATCTGTAGCTACTTCAGGCAGGTTAGGTTTGTAGAGCTGTCCCTGCTTGTGGGTCCAGGTGTGGGTCACTAAAGAGAAGAGGGTGGAATTGGACAGCCCATAAAGCAAGAGCTGTGACTGGAGGCCATTTTTGGAGAATCTTCCAGAGCCTGGATGCTCTGTTGAATGAAGGCAATGAAATATGTGAGGAGACATGGCCTAAAAATAAGAATAAAGAAAAAGTCTATAGGTCCCACGAGGGGATAGTCAGGAAAACCAACACCAGATATTGAACTTAAAATCCCAAAAAGGGAGAGACAGAGTAGTAGGTGAATTTTGTATGGCTCACACTACATCAGTAATTCTCAATAATTCCAAGTCAAAGGATGAAAGAAAAAAATGAAACATTAGCTTGGAAGAAAACTGGGATTCAGTCAGTTTGTGGGTGACAACTGGGCCTTGTTATTTCCATTGAAACACAATTTCTCTCTCTAAAATCACCCTCATTTTATTAAAGAGACTGTATACAAATTTAGTTTCAATATGGCCTGATTATTTGCATGAACACAACAAGAATGGCAATTAATTACATAGGCTTTTTCATATCTGCTTTGCTGAAATTTTTACAAAGAACCTTCAGATTGAATTTTAGTTAGTCTTTCAGGGCAAAGAAGCCAAGCCACACATTTGCCATCTGGTATTTCTTTGTCTGAAATACCTATTAGTTTGAGCAGATTCCTTAAGTTCTTGAGGTTCCTTCCTTGCCATCTTTCAGGAAAGCAACCTAGGCTCCTTATCTGGAAGGACTTCCATGAACCACATGACCAAGTAAGGTACCAGGCCGTTTCTCAACAGGCTCTTATTGGCTTCAAAAGTCAATCTTGTTTTTTAACTATGGTTTATTGATTATGTTATTACACTTGACCCATTTTTGCCTCCCTTTATCCACCTCCTCCGCCTTGTACAATCCCTCCCACCAGCATTCCCCCACCTTAGTTCATGTCCGTGGGTCCTACATATATTTCTTTGGCATCTTGTCTTTCATGACTCTGAATACTTCTTTCCAGCCCCATTTCGCCTGTATGGTTTCTTTTGAGAAATCAGATGGTCTTATGGGAACTCCTTTGTAGGTAACTCTCCCCTTTTCTCTTGCTGCTTTTAAGATTCTCTCTTTATATTTAAGCTTGGCTAATGTAATGATGGTGTGTCTTCGTGTGTGCTTCCTTGGGTCCAACTTCTTTGGGACTCTCTGAGCTTCCTGGACTTCCTGGGAGTCTATTTCCTTTGTCAGATTGGGGATGTTTTCCTTCATTATGTTTTCAAATAAGCTTTAAATTTCTTGCTCTTTCTCTTCTTCCTCTGGCACCCCTATGATTCAGATGTTGGAACATTTAAAGTTGTCCTGGAGGTTCCTAAGCCTTTCGTCATTTTTTTGAATTCTTGTTTCTTCTGTTCTGATTGACTGTTTATTTCTTCCTTCTGGTCCAAACCATTGATTTGAATCCTTCCCGTCACTGTTGGTTACCTCTACATTTTCCTTTATTTCACTTTTCACAGCCTTCATATCTTCCTCTATTTTGCAACCATATTCAACTAATTCTGTGAGCATCCTGATTACCAGTGTTTTGAACTGTGAATCTGATAGGTTGGCTATCTCTTCATTGCTTAGTTGTATTTTTTCTGGAGCTTTGATCTGTCCTTTTATTTGCGCCATTTTTTCTTTTTGTCTCCACGAGCCTGTTACATAGTAAGGGGTGGAGGCTTAGGTATTTGCCAGGGCAGGGCAACCCATTTCACTGCACTGTGGGACTGTGTGTGGGAGAGAGGTCTGAGAGGGAACAATGCACTTTGTTCAGCTCTCTGCTGGCTTTCAGTCACTTCTACTACCCACAAGCAAATTGGGCCCTTCTGGTGCTGATCCCTAGGTAGGTTGTTTTGTGTACATTCTAGGACCCTGTGGGTCTCTCCAACAAACTGTCCTGTGAGGCTGAGAGTTTTTTCCGATGCCTCAACCCTCACAGGTTTTTTCAGTCAGGTTTGGAGGCTTTATTTCCCTTTGCTGGGGCCCTGGATTGCATGGTCTGTCTCACTTCCCAGTTGTTCCTCCCAGTTTATTTGCAGGTGAATGTGGGACCACCTGCTCTGCCAGCCACCATCTTGCCCACCCCAATCCTCTAGCCACCACCTTGCCATTAGTCCTTTCCACCCGCCTGCCCATTCTGCCCCTCCTACCGGTCTGGATGGATGTTTTTTCTTTAATTCCTTGGTTGTCGGACTTCTGTACAATTCGATTTTCTGTCAGTTCTGGTTGTTTTTTGTTTTTAAATTTGTTGTTGTTCTTCTTTTGGTTGTACGAGGAGGAACAGACTATCTACCTACACCTCTATCTTGGCCAGAAGTCATCAATCTTAATTCCTTAAGGTTTTCTGGTAACATCCACAGTCCTGGCATGACTCTTTTGATTATGACATTCTAGACAAAGACTTGGTTAATAAAGGCACATTTGAAAACTGGTGCTATTATAAAGAGAACAGATTCTTATTGGGTTTATGCAAACAACCATATTGCCATGAAAATAATACTTACTAAGAGTTGCCAAATTCTGAAGGGATTTACGTAGGGAGAAAAATATAAATGTTTCAATATTGGTTATGAGGGTATAATTCACCAATTGTTCTAGGGGAAAAAAGTTTCCTTACATCTGGAAAACAAAAATATTTAAAATTAGCAATATTTTGAACAGTCATATGAATAACAGTTACCTTTAGTTCATTTAGTCACATATAACCAATATTGTTTGTCTTGATATTTGTCAGTATGTCCATGAATTTAGTTATTCTAAGGGTTCTATAAATCTTTATTTACTTCAAAGATATGACCTACCTAGATACCTGTAATTTAGAGTAAGTTAGAGTCCTTTTCATGAACCTGTTTAAAGATACATTTGCAAATGCAATAGAGTAAAACAGTGACTGTTTATAAACAACCAAATTTAAAATGACATAGTTGTAGATTTGATTAAAATGCAATTGATAAAGAAATTTGCGAACCACACCAAGGCACATCATAATTATATTACCCAAGATTAAAATGAAGGAGACACTCCTAGAAGCAGCAAGAGATAAGGGGACCGTAACCTACAAAGGAGTTCCCATCAGACTGTCAGCTGATATCTCAAAGAGACCTTACAGTCAAGAAGGGGCTGGAAAGAAGTATTCCAAGTCATGAAAGGCAAGGACCTGCATCCCAGATTGCTCTATCCAGCAAAGCTTTCATTTAGAATGGAAGGGCAGATAAAATGCTTCTCACATAAGGTCAAGTTCAAGGAGTATGAACTTGAGGAGTATGAACTTTCATCACCAAGCCATTATTATATGAAATGTTAAAGGGACTTATCTAAAAAAAAAGAAAATAAAAAAACATGTATAGTAAAATGACAGCAAACTCACAATTATTAACAGCCACACCTAAAACAAAAACAAAAACAAAAACCAACTAAGCAAACAACTAGAACAGAAACAGAACCACAGAAGTGGAGATCACATGGAGGGTTAGCAACAGAGGAGTGGGAGGAGGAGAGAGGGGGAAAAGGTACACAGAATAAGTAGCATAGATGGTAGGCAGAAAATAGACAGGGGGAGGGCAAGAGTAGTATGGGAAATGTAGATGCTAAAGAACTTATGACATATGGACATGAACTAAAGGGGGGGAATGTGGGTGGGAGAGGGTATGCAGGGTGGAGGGGAATGAAGGGTGGGTAATGGAACAACTGTAATAGCATAATCAATAAAATATATTTAAAAAAAGAAATTTGCTTTTCTGTAAAGTATAATAATTCAAGGTAAAAATCTCTTTTCCTTTTTTTTTATAATGAAAGACTATTTTTTTTTTTTAATTTTTAGAGAGGGAAGGGAGGGAGAAAGAGAGAGAGAGAAACATCAATGTGTGGTTGCTGGGGGTGTGGCCTGCAACCCAGGCATGTGCCCTGACTGGGAACCGAACCTGCGATGCTTTGGTTCGCAGCCCGCGCTCAATCCACTGAGCTATACCAGCCAGGGCTAAAAATTTCTTGATAAGTAATATTTTACTTATGACATAAAAGGACAATATAAAGTTCATGTTTTTAGACTTAACATACAGTCTTAAAATATATAAAGACCAATATTAGAAATGCACAAGAGATAAAGGCAGGAGGAGCCAGATGATCTGATCCAAGTGCCTATATTAGATGCTGCGCTTACAGGAGGGCTGAGACTGGATCGACTGCAGCCATGAGGGGAGGCAGAAATGGAGACCCTGTATTTTTCTTAATATTGGGAGCATATAGCTCCTTCTTTCCTTAACCCCTGTTCATTGATTCTTTCATCTTTCTATATGTCATTGTCTCCAAATTTTCCTTAATAACAGCAGTTTCTGCTTTTCAAGGAAAGGAATGTTATTCCCAGTTTCCATTTAGTCCTACTGCCTGAGCTAACCAGAATGTTACAGTGTTTATATGTGTTTTGGTGTTAGGCATGTTTGCTCCAACACAAAGGACAGAAGGTATCTCCACATCAGACATCATCACCCGAATTGTCCGGGACTATGATGTGTATGCCAGACGGAACCTGCAGAGGGGCTACACGGCAAAGGAGCTCAATGTCAGCTTTATCAACGTGAGTTTCAATTTCATCCCAGAGTTCCCTGGCCCTATAAAGACACACATTGCCTACTACTTCATCTGAGCTGAACTTGCTTTTCAGTCTGCTATAATTATCTCCTGCAAAAGCTCAATGAATCATCTTTGCAGATAACACTATGCCATGTTCTTTACAAAATAGAATGAAACAGAGGCATTTTCTGCCTTTATGGTATGGTATCAACACATTGATAAAAAGATACACAGCTAATTAAATAAATAAGGATGTGTAACTTACAAAGTATAATATATATATTAAATACAATTAAAATAGTGGTTCTTAGCCTTTTGCTTTTTTTCACTTGATGGTCTTTTGAAAATCTGTTGAAAGCTGTGGATCCCCTGCCTGTGTGGATGGCAACACACATTTTGCATGCAGTTTCTAAGGGCATGAAGACCTAAGTTTTAAATTTTGGTTTATGAAAGCCCATTTTTCTTTAGGTAAATATTGCCCTTTAGAAACAAACTGCTATATATTTTGTATGTAAGTTATATCTCTATAAAGTTTATTTGAAAAGAAGCTAACTGTATCTTCTGTGTTAGTAGTTTACCATGTTTCCTTATCTGTACCTCACTGTGAATTATGAATGGGTGAAATGGTTTCATCTGAATATGATTTATCTATACAGATAAACCCCAGCTGTTGTTAGCCACCTACTACATAACTTTTTATCTATTTTCAGGTGTTTAAAATTTTAAAAAATATTTTATTTATTTTTTAGAGAAGGGAAGGGAGGGAAAAAGAGAGGAAGAGAAACATTAATGTGTGGTTGCCTCTCACATGCCCCCACTTGGGACCTGGCCCGCAACCCAGGCATGTGCCCTGACTGGGAATCAAACCAGTGATCCTTTGGTTCACAGTCTGTGCTCAATCCACTGAGCTATGCCAGCCAGGGCAGGTGTTTAAAATTTTTAAACATATTTCCTTATCTCTTTATGATAGGGAAATTATGAGAATACTTTTCATTTGACTAAAGACTCCCCTCCTCGCCCCCCATCCCCAGAGAAGCCCATAATTTTCTCTTATCTTTAGGGAAGCTGGTAGGACCAAGCATATCATCTTTATTTTGTGAAAGAGCAAACAGACCTCCAAATACTAAAAATAACTCTTTTAAAATCATAGAATAAGTTAGTGATAGAGGAGAAAAATCCAATGCAATAAATGAAATAAGTAAAAGATCTACTACTTCCACTTTCAACCTGTTATAATTGACTTATTCTTGGCAATATTTTGTGCAGTGATCTTGTTGCTCCCTTCACATCTCTGTCTAGAATGGGGTTTGGGTTATGTTTGGCATGTTTATGTTTTAAGTTCATATTTTTTTCTTTAAAAATTTGACTTCATTTGCTTACATATATGTTACCAGGCCTACCCTATATATTTAGATTAGTCAGGGTTTCCAAGATGTTAAAATTATCACACTTTTATATAAGATGACCATCCAGAGGACCTCTTCTCTGTTATTATGCTACAGAAGTGTGGGATAGATTAAGCAAAGTGAAATTGTAAAGACTAAAAAGTGTTAATACAGCCCTGGCTGGTGTGGCTCAGTAGATTGATTGCTAGCCTGGGAACCAAAGCATCACCGATTCCGATTCCCAGTTAGGGCACATCCCAGGGTTGCGGGCTAGGTCCCCAGTAGGGGGAGCATGAGAAGCAACCACACATTGATGTTTTTCTCCCCTCTCTCCCTCTCTAAAAATAAATAAATGAAATCTTTTTAAAAAGTGTCAATAGACTGCTGAACCATGTTTCTTTGCCCCCTTTTGTATGAAAGGTCTGGGTAGGTATTACTTCTCAAAACAATTCTTTCTTTACCTAGGAGAAGAAATACCACTTGCAGGAACGGGTTGACAAAGTAAAGAAGAAAGTGAAAGATGTGGAAGAAAAGTCAAAAGAATTTGTCCAGAAGGTAGAGGAAAAAAGCATTGATCTCATTCAGAAATGGGAGGAGAAATCCCGAGAATTCATTGGAAATTTCCTGGAAATGTTTGGTCCAGAAGGAGCACTGGTATGTTCTTTCCTGCTGGATAATTGAGGGAATTCTCCTGCTGTGGAAAGAATTATAGCACCCTTGACCAGAAAGGGACATGGACATTCAGAAGTTATCTAATCTGCTCCCCTTAGTGGGCAGAACTATATTTCAACTGCTCCCAAAACTTCTTTGAAATCTTTCCAGAAAGAGGTTACATGTTCTCCTAAATAATTTTGCCAGCTCTCTATCAACGTCCAAATCGGGTGACAAGATAAGAGAGTAGCCCTGCCCACGTGTACACTGTAGTTTTAGATAGAAGGAAAGAACAGTAAAAAGAAAGCTGCACTCCACTACAAACAGCTTCTTCTATATTGCTGCGTGAGGTGGGAATTCTGCCCTTCAGGAGGAGCAAGTTCTCCTCAAGCCAGGTGGAGGAGGGGTGTGTGTATAGTCATTCAGCAAGTGAGCCTAGGTTGGATATTCAGAAGGACCTGACTGTGAGGATGTTTGGATACGAGAATAGATTATTCAGGGAAAATATGAATTCCCTTTTCAGAGAACTCTGAAACTCAGAGAGGTACCCTTTTGTGTGAGTTAGTTCCTTTGTTCTTGCCTAGAGCCTGGACTACAAGCCAAGCAGGCTTTCAGGAATTCCCTTGACATAGGAGTAGGATCAGGTAGCTGGAGAACAGGTAGGAACCTTTAGATAAGTCACATAACATAGACCACTTTAGGGAGAAAATTACTTAGAATTATAGCTATGTCCCTCGCCTGGCTTTCTTGGTCACTTTTGACATTGCATACAGCACTTGTGATAATTTGAAGTCTCAGGCATGCCAGCGGTGATTTAGTAGCATCTATAGGTTTCTTCTAACTCTTCCTTTGGTCTCCACAGAAACATATGCTGAAAGAAGGGAAAGGCCGGATGCTGCAGGCCATCAGTCCAAAGCAGAGTCCCAGCAGCAGCCCTACTCGTGAACGCTCCCCCTCGCCCTCTTTCCGATGGCCCTTCTCTGGCAAGACTTCCCCTCCTTCCTCCCCAGCAAACCTCTCCAGGCACAAGGCTGCAGCCTATGATATCAGTGAGGATGAAGAAGACTAATTTTTCATCCCTCCTTTCCTTTCCCCTCCCCATGTCCCATCACCTTCAGAAGCTCTCTGTTGAATTCCAAATTGTGGTCCCAACAATAAACCTAAAGACAGCTACAAAGGAAAGACAATTGGGGCAAGAGGACCTCAGATGGGGGGAGCAGACAGCCCATCCTCCAAGAGACATCACCCACCCACACCGAGGAGGCTGACCACACCTTAGAAGCCTGTTCTGCATCCGTGTACCCTTCCCACGGACTTTGCTTTACTGTTTATGTTCATGTGACCTTGACAGGGAAATTGTCATTTTATTAATTTTTTTAAAAATCAGTCCTTTAACTACAATTAATAGAACTAATTCTTTTGCTCCTCAGGAGTGGGCAAAAGGAACTGGTACAATACCCAGAGGCCTTTTCTTCCTGATACACTATAGGGTTTGCCTTCTGTTCTGAGGCAAACTGGCTGGCCAAGTCCTTCCAGCACTGGCCATGCTGATGAGTGACTTTGGGGCAGGCAGGGGCTGGGGGGATATAGTTTTGGTTTCCTTAAAAAAAAATACTAAAAGCCGGGTAATTGTCACAAATCCCCTAACAGTGTTGCTGGCACATGTGCCGGTGTGTCTGTGAGAAGAAGAAGAGCTAAGCCTAACTGTTCTTGCTCCCTGAGGAGTTTCTTGATGGACCCAGTGGGGTCCCTGAAGACACTGATGGCATCAGCTCTGGCTTTTCTGCTGTGTTCATCTTCTCAGAAAATTCTATTGCCCGGCTATTTGGGAGCTCTTGTTGATCTCTTTCCTGGAATCTATTGTTAAAGGAAGGGACACTTCCAGGTTTACTGTGATTGTGGAGGGGAGTGGGACAATACTCAATCCTACACAAAGTTATTTCAGGTTCCTTTTCCCCCTGGAGCAAGTCCCTGGTCCTGCTGCTCCTATTTCTGTGCTCATTACCTAGCTTTTTACAAAAGGTGCTTTGTAAATGTCTGCAATGTCAACATGATCTCTTAATCCACATTGCTCACATCAATTGAATATTTAGAGAGATTTGCATAGAGCTTTAGGTGTAAAAGCATAAGAGAACATCCACCTTCCTATCTTGACTCTGCCCCTCTTAAGAATGTTCTTGACTGGAACCAGTGCCCCACAGGGTTTGTTTTCCTCTGAGAGTGGCAGCTGGCAGGGACTTACTTCCCTCCACCACCCCTTCCAGTGAGCTACAAAGAAGGGTTCCCATTACAAGGATATGGTAAGCTCTCTCCCTCCCTTCCACATGTGCCTGGTGGTTATGGCCTCACCTCTCCTGTTAGGTTCCCTGGGGGGATTCATCACTTAAATTTCACATCAGAGAATGCTGAAGCTTGACGCTTGCTGTTGGGCTTGAGCTCATTTTAAACCTCCAGCATCCTACAGCTACATGACTTAGCAGATCACCATCCATCAGTAATCCTGTAGCTGGGTTTAGGGGAAGACTGCTTCCGTCCAGGCCCCACCCTGTCACTCATAAATACCCCTTGTGGGGGTGGAGTTTTAGTGTTTTCAGCTAAGAAAACCACATTTTATCTTGCCCATGCTAGGGCTGTGAGTATGTCATAGTCATCTCCCTTAATACTTCCTGGTGGGAAAACCTGCCTGCCTGCACACTGGACCAACTAGGTTCTCAAAACCTAGGATCACCCAGAGGCAGAGCATGGCAGAGTGTAGGGACACAGAGGGGAACCTCTTGTCCTGATGGCCTGTGAAAACTACATTTCTATCTCTTCTCATGAAGTGCTACTTTTACTATCAAATCTGGTTTACACGAGCTTTGGCTTGGCATCCTTTTTTTTTTTTGAAATAGGTGAAGTTGATGTTTGCCTACATTGCCCAGCCTCATATGATCACGTTTTAACTTTTCAGCTTTAATCTTCCTTCTTTGGGAATTTTACCTATTTCCTTCTTATTCCCCCTGATACAGAAAGGTAGTGAAGTCACCTCTGAAGCCCACCTACTTGTTCCCTCCGGGTACCCATTATGCTGTATATTTTGAAAGGGAGATGCCCAGAAGGTGGTTTTCCTCCCTGTAGTCACTCCTCTCAAGGATATTGTCTGCGTCTCTGAGCTATGGGCCCTCCTCCTCTGCTCTGTCATTGGGCGGCTTTTGGCATACCTGGCCCTTGGAGTGTGACCTCTAGGCTGAAACCTCTGTGAGATTCCTAGTGCCAGCACGTGCACACATTCTTGGAAAACTCCTTTGCCCCTTTTGGTTGGTGAGCCTCTACAGCCTCAGTCTCTTAACACTAGTATATTTCAATAATTTTGACTGAAAGTAAAAACTTTTATGGCATGGCATGTTAGATACTATGGGATAAATGTGATCCTAGGTGCTGGATAAGGATGGTGGATGCAGGAAGCTGTTGGGATGATGCATTGTTTGATAAGTTGTGCCTAATTAAATGGGGTTAGTGGTTTGCATTACCACAGCCATACCTGTGACTTGTAAAGCTAGTATAATGTTTGAGGTTGTGGAGCTATTTCTCTGAATGCCACACACAAAGCTGTCAGCCTAAATAGGCCAAGTGTGGCAGAGATGGTAGATCTTTAAAATCTGATTGGCCTCAGTCTCTCTGAGTTGGCCCCACTGTGCAAGATGGAAGGAGAATGGAGAAGGAAGCCCTATCACTGGGGCCAAGGAGGTGCCATTTCAGCAGTTCCTTGGAGAGGAGATGAGCAGGAAGTTTGATTTTTTTATAAACTAGGCTCAGTAGCACTGAAAAATAGAGGCTTAAACTTTAGAGGAATAGAAATGGATCATTTGTACTGCTACAGCTGCTTCTGATAGCTCCAGTCAAAGACCATTATTTTGCTGAGACTTGGGTAAAAAGGTTGGGGATGTGAGGAGGCTGAAAATCCTGCAAAGGAGAAAATATATGAGTGAGGGCAAGAGAACTTTTGACCTTTTCTGATTGCTGATAACTTCTTGGGCAACACCTGAGTTACATTTTTAAAATTTTACTGTGACCTCACAGCTGGTTAGCAGTTTCTGGGTATTCCCTCTAAAATAGATCTTCACAGTTCTTTTGTTACTCTTTCTTCATTATTTTGATTTGTGGGTAACTTTTGATTTTTCTGGAGCTTATTGCCTAATCTTCTTCCAGATCTCATATTTAAAATCTTTCCAAATCAATTATACTTTGCTGATTTTCTTTAATTCCTAAAAGCCATAGCTTCTACATTTTCTGTCAGCATACACTCTTACCAGAAGTTGAACCAATACATGCAGAAAAAAAAATACTCCCTTAACAATATTTTTAACTGATGGTATTTTTTAAGCTTACCAATATAAGTATTTTTGAAGGTTATATATTTTCAAATCATACGATGATTATTCTTGTTTTCTCTTGTAGAATAGATTGTCATGGGGTAGAGAGTGGTCCCTAGCTTCTATTTATCCAAATAAGTAGAGCATGTTCTCAGGATTATACTATTAAATGCTAATTTTCTTTAAAAGAAGAAAGATTTTTCTGTCTGCCAAACTTCATACTCAGATTGGGGTAGAAAAGTATGAGGCTTAACATTAAGTAAGGATTACTCAGGTTGTGGTCCTTTAGGTTTGAAGTGGGATTTCCCACCCTCTTTCAGAGGCACTGACTGTCTTGAACACAGAGACTTGATTGGGTGGATTTTATGTTTTTTGGTATTGAGGAACCTGAAGAAAAAAAATAGCCTTGCAAAGAAATGCTGGCCTCAGCACGAAAGTTAACCCCATCCATCACCAGAGCTGACATCCACAGGAATGTTTTCCTCAACTGGTGTTCAGTATATTGTTTTCCTGTCTGAGTGTTATTAACTTGTTCAGAGTTATTTTGGCTTTTGTCATTTAGCCAAATAAAAGCAAAGTGGTTTTACCTAATGTTTTATTTTCTGTGTTTTGACCTGATAAACGTGTATGATACATTTTATGTATTGGGATCTTTTTCCTGTACTCTCAATTCATTTGCTTTTGCACTTTAATTTATTTTCTCAAAATCAAGCTCCATGACCATATTATTGGGGATTCCTTTTTCAGTTTGGCACAGAAGATTTAAAAAGCCATTGTCCCACAAAGGGAGGCTGAGCTGGATCTCACAGGTCTAATGTTATCTGTAAGGAAAAGAACACCTTCAATCTGTTCTTCAGAAGCCTGGTTCTTTCGAGATTTTGGGCTTGTACTATTTTGCCTAAGTTCTACTCTCATTTTTATACCAGACAAACTACCAGGTACTCTCCACCCTTTTATTTGCTTTGAGAAAACTCAAAGTGACCTTTCAATATACAAGCTTTAAGGGCTGATAGTGGCACCCACAGAGGTAATGTGCCCAGTTATACAGTTTCATACTCCATCCTGTTTGTCTATTATAAATCTTAAGTTACCTTTCCCAGGCAAAATCCAAAACAATTTCATCCTATTGCATAATTTACCTTCATCTCTATAGTCAAATGTAATTTGCCAGTTTGTGCTGACAATGGAATCTTTCCCATTTGGGCAATGTTGAGGGACAGCAAAGAAATCTTGTGCCCATCTCATGAGTACAGTGTCTCTTTCATAGTCCAAGCCATTCACCTCAGGCTTTGATGTCCAAATCCAGGTCTGGAGAAGGGAAAGGTTCATATCCAACCTTGTCGTCTTTCCTTCTGTAGTATATTCGTGTCAGCACAGTTATCAGAAAAGTCTCCAGTACAAGGAGGTGGCAATTCATCACTGCAGTGTGGGGTGAAATATAGTGTAAGTTATACTAAATTATAGAGGTGGTATCCCAACAGCAGGCCTGGCATGTGAGTTGGACAACACTTTCTGCAATTTATCCTCAAACCAGGACCTAGAGTCTGAGTAACATGGCAGGTTAATGGTAGAGCCAAAACCAAAACTTGGCTCTCAACCTGCAATCTGAGGTTAACATTAAACCTCATTTCTTTTGTGCATTTTATCTCCTTCCTAGCCACACCCATTTCCCTCCCAAGAGCTAAGGATCGAACCCATGGCCATCAAGGCTGGCCTCAAGCTGTGGAATTGCAGGTCTCTTCTGTGTGATCAGAAAAGTCATAGTCTCCTTAAATCTCTGCTGGGATTCTTGGAGATCCTTTTTTGAGTATTTGGAGCAGCAGCCTACCTGGCCCAACCTCTGTTTTAAGATCTTCTCCTCTCTAATCTTTCCATGATACTCCCCCTCTCACTTATCCTGGAATGAGATAAGAGCTTTAATAGGCTCACCTTGAGACCTGATTTTAGAGGAAAAGGGAGGTGAACAAGCAATCTGCCCGCCATTGGCCAAGACTGAGAAGATGGATGGCTGCAGGGCAGTCAGGATGAGCAGCACCTGCAGAAGGGAGAAGAAAAGCGAGGGCAGGGCGGGCCCAGGTGCATGGCGCTGAGGCCAGCTGGTCCGCGGCTGTGCTTGTCATGCCACAGTGCTTTTGGCCAACCTTTAGATCTGTGCAGTTCTGGAAGGCTGAGATTCACATTTGGTTAAAATTTGATGGAATTTCTAATCTCTAGGAAAGTTGTAACCTCATCTTCAACCAATATTTTATGAGAGTTCCTGACAAGAAACAATAAGAACTGATTGGAGGTTCAAGTTTATTCCCCTATTTCAGTCATGGCTGCTAAGGAGCACTTGCTGGATGAAAAGGGTGGATGATTAGGGAAGAGTCAGTCCATCTGCCTCAAGTATCAGATCCCTGCTGATAGGATGTTGGACAATTAACCACTAAAGTGCCCTCTGAAGAATCTCTGCCACACCAGGGCTGGAGGTGAAGGGAAGAAGGGGAACTAGTGTTCAATAGATACAGAGTTTCTGAGTGCAAGATGAAGCAGTTCTGGGGATGGAGGGTGGTGATGGTTGTACAACAATGTGAATGCACTTAATGTCACTAAGCTATACATGTGAAAATTGTTAAAATTATAAATTGTGTTATGTATATTATAGCACAATAAAAAGAAAGAAAGAAAGAAAAAGATCATCTCTGTCCAGAAGCCCCAGGAGCACCATTTCTCTTAGTACTTGCTCCCCCCAAGGCAAGGCAGACTGGCTTGTCCAGGCTTCCCACCATCATCACTGGCCCGCTCGGCAGCCACAGGCTTTTGACCTGAGGCCTGATCCTAAGTGCTTCTGGGGCCAGGATCCTTTCTGCCCCTCAATCCCTGATTCCATTTCAGTCTCTTTTCTCTCTTCCCCTACCCCCTTCCATTCTACCTACTATGTGCTGGAAATTCACATTTTGGAGGCATGTGCTTAGATCAAATGATAATCCATGTGCAAGCATGCTGTTAACTATAATGCAGTTATTTCTTGGGAGTAGGAGAAGGGCCCAGCAAGGAGACAAAAAGAATGGAAAGAGAAGGAAAACAAGATATTGCATTTATTGGAAAAGTTGTCTTTGGACTTGGAGAATGGAAAGTGTAGAGTGAACAGATGTGTCTTGGAGAGAAGTTTCAGAAGAGGTGTGAAGATGAGAGGCAGTGTGATGAGAAGAAGGGATGTGGATTGGGGAGTGAGACAGAGCTGGGTTTATATTCGAGCCTATCCCTATGTGTCTTTGAGCAAGTCCCATAGCATCTCTGGGTCTCAGTTTCCTTATTTGTAAAATAAAAAGAATGACTTCTAATATTATTGTGAAAATTAAATTGGAGTGTATGAAAAGGGCCTAGCATATGGTATAGGTAGTTCATGTAGCTGAGATAATGCTGATGCTGCTGGTGGTGATGGATTATGGGGTTTTAGGAAGTAATCATAGAAAAGAAAAAAGTGAAGGTGGAAGAATTTAAGATTCAATAATACACGTGTTATGGGTTGAAATGTGCCCCACAAACAGATATGTTGAAGTCCTAACCCCAGTACCTGAGAATGTGACCTTATTTCAAAACAGCATCATTATTTTGGTTAACTAATTATATGTAATTGGTTAAGATGAAGTCATACCAGGGTAAGGTGGGTCCTTATTCAAATTTGACTTGTGTCCTTATAAGAAGAAAAGAGACAAAAGACACGGTCACAGGAGGCGAGAAGGCCATGTGATGACAGAGGCAGAAATCGGAGGGATGATGCTGTAAGTTAAGGAATACCGAGATCACTGGCAAACCCGCAGAAGCTAGGGAGAGGCAAGGAGGGTTTCTCCCGTACAGATTTCAGAGGAACCGTGGCCAGGTGACATCTTGATGTTGGACTTGTAGCCTCCAAAACTGTGAAGGAATACATTTCTGTTGTTTTAAGCCACTTGGTGATATTTTGTGACAGCAGGCCTAGCAAACAATTTCAGCACAGAAAAGCAAAACCTAGGAAGTGGCAAGGATCATTTTCCAAATCTCACAGGAAACCTGAGGCTTAAGATTCCCAGACCTGCTTTTAGCCTCTATTAGTCTCACCTCCTAACCCCAATTATTTGTAGCTCTATTATGAACCATCCTTTCTCTCTTAGGGTGTAGTTACCTGGAACAGAGCAAATTTGGCTCCTATGTTCTGCTCGCCCAGGTGCAGCCTGGCTTGACGGAAAAGGATAGCCAGGGTCCAGAGGGCCAACAGGGTGGACACGCCAAGGAAAGTGTTGATCCATAGAGCTGTGCTCTCCTCAGAAATCTGGCGACAGACCAGACAGGAGTCAGTGAGGGAGGCGGGCCCTTTTCTTTATTTCTTTCCCCAAGGTGGAGCAGTTAATTAGAAAAGCCCCATAGCCTGCCCCAGTCTCCTCCCTCCCACCACAGGCCCTGAACCTCTATTTTTCCACAGTCACCCTATCTGCAGGTAGCAGAGGATGTTGGCACCAGCTATTCCTCCTAGAGCTCAAAGGTACTAAATGAGTTCTGTACTTCGCTGCCCCTTCCCCCTGGCTTACATCTGCTGGGTCATAGATGCCATCAGGGATGAGAAACAGGCCCACCAGGCCCAGTGTTATCTTGAAGAAGGCATACTGGAATGGCCCCAACATCAGTAGCTGAAGCTTTTTCCTGAGGGGAAAAGAGGGTTAGGAACATGGACCCACAGACCACCCACCCCAAGAAGACTTATCTTCCTCACTGGGCTCCTGGGCCGAGGCTTGATTACCATCAGAGACACCAAAATGGTTAAACAGGAAGAAGCCGGGATGTTGAGAGCATTGGCAATCCTTGCTTTCCACTCACCCTAGACCAGAATGCTGCCTTTTTGAGTGTTGACCCAATCCCATTAACCAAAATGAGCAAGAGGGGGCAAGTAAAGAGCCTACAGTCTAGTTTTGCTTCACATGGCTACACTTTGGAGGTGGCAGTGGGCTTAAGTGACGGGAACTTTGGAGTTCTCCTTTCTCTGCTCCCCTGACTTCTGGGTGGGATGCCTACCCTTTCATCATTGGGTTTGTTCCATACAACGCTAATTGCAGGAGGGTTGAAGCGGGGCTGAGAGAGCCAGCAGATGCTCACGGGAGAGTGCGGGAAGAGGTAACCTGTTCTTTGAGGACACCTCTCCCTCCTCTCTTACCTGGTGAGCATGAGTTTGGGGCAACAGGGGCAGCAGCAGCAGCAGGGGCCTGTGTGGATCATCATCGGGGTGTCCTTCAGTGTCCTCACTACCGCCTCCTTCCCTCCGAAGCCTTCCACTATGACCTGCATCAGCAGGTAAAAGCACACCGCATAAAACCTGGAGTGGGAAGAGAATTGGGCCTGAGAGTACACCGAGGGGAGGCAGTAGCCAGCTGAGGGACACCCTTTGCTTCCAAAGATGGACGGCAAAGGGAGTGGAGAGGGCTGAGGCTCACTGAGGGGAGCACGGTAGGGACTAGCCATTCTGAACGTGTGACCCAGGAAGAGCAAGAGAAGAGGACGGCGTCTGGGGGCCTGAGAAGGGGGGAAATTTCAGGCTTTGGGGTTGACATGGTGGCTGAGGATAAACAGATCTAGAAGTTCAAGAGACCCGAGTTAGCACAAGTTGGAAAGGGATCGATTTGTGATCAATACTAATTGATTTGCAGGGGTTTATGGAAGAGATGGGGATAAAAGAAGACATGGGTTCTGAAGTCCTGGGTGAGTGGGGAGCAGAAGGGGACCCCAAAAGGATACTAGGCCTAGAGCTGAGGGCAGCAGGACACTCACGAGGTTATGGCCATTTCCACAATCATGAGGGAACGAGGGATCCAGAGACCGAAGCAGCAGAACACAGACACCACCTGCTTGGACGGGAGCAAGAAGCCAGTTAAGGGAACGAGGGAGACCTTGCGCTCACCCTCTTGAAACTTTCGTGACAAGGGCTCAAGGAAGCAAAACCTAAATGTCTAAGGTACTATTACTTAAAAGTGGACAGCTGGAAAAATCACTAATTGAATTTAAAAACATTTTAATTTAGCTGTCAGTTCCTTCTATGTCTTAGTTAGAGATAGCAAGTCACCTGAGTCAGGGGCGTTTTTGAAGACTATCTTATCCTACATCCCTGGGGTGAGAATAGATAAGTTCATCCCTAGGAGTAAGAGGACCAAGATCCAACCCTTCCTTTTCAACATCCCATGTTATAAGAGCATCACTGATGACCTGAGATGGCCCAGGCAGATGTTATTGGGCAGGAAAGGACCTCACGGGCCTCACTCTCCACCCAAATGGGCACTCAGAGCTCACCAGAAGGAAACAGAAGTCCAACCTTAATGGTCTATGAGCAAGCCAAAGGCCTTCATAATGGCTGTGGGAGTTTCAAAAGCTTACAGTGTAAGAGTAGAGCTAAGTATGACCCCATGGGAAAAAAATTCTTTCCCTCCTACACTCTGAGGAACCTCTGCTTGTCCATACACAAAGGAGGCTTGCTTTTAACAGCAATATCGTGGTGGAGGAGGAGTGATTGGGCCACTGGTCGCTGAGTGGTTTCTTTAGCTGTCTCTGTGGCTCTAAGAATTCTAACACTCCATCCCACCACCTTCCCAGCATGGGGCCTGAATGCAAATGGAGATCACATTAGAAGCCTCCACCCTAAGGTGGTAGAGGCCTGCAACCATTTGCTTACTTGCATTGTTGAGTTTAGAGGAATTCTCAGAATGGTCCCCACATCCTCCTCTTCAGTCCCTCCTGAAGGGCAACAATAGGGCGCTCACCGTGGGTGCAGAGCTGATCCAGAGCAGAGTCCTCCTCTTGACGGGGCAACGGGTGTTCTTGTACAGGTAGAGGGCATCCTCCAGGAAGATGGCAATTGAACCCAGAGCAAGCAAGGTCATGATGACCGTGAGGGCAATTTCCACAGGGCCCAGTGCTAGAGTGGATAGAAAGAGGACAGACTCTAGTGAGCTGAAGTCCAGAACTGAATGAGGGGCAGGAATGTGGCTCCCTCACTTGGATCTAAATTGCTTTACTGTATACAGAACTGTCTGCCCTAGGCCCCCATGCATGCAGAACAATGGCTTTTTCTTAGACCTAGAATATCCAACATGTGGCTAGAAAATAATCATTCTTCTGCATGGATGGGAGCCTAGGCCATAGAATTTCAGATATGGTGATGCTTACCTGGACAAGAGTACAGACATCAAACAAGTTTTTACATAGCAAAAATTTTGGAGTAGGAATTCAGTAGGGCCTATGTGCTTTTCTACCTCGGGTGCCATGTGTTATGCTGGCAAACAACATTATAATTGAAGCAGAATGTAATTAGTGGTATACTTTAGAGCTGTTTGAAATTTGATTTCAAAAATTATGTCATGAACCCGGGACTCCACACTGAGTGTTGGTCTCACACTTAGTCTTACATTGAATATGGCCCAGTGGCTCTTTAGTGTTTATCATATTCATTCAAGGAGTTGTTAAAAGGTAGCTGTCCAGGCCCAGCCCTTAGAGATGCTGCTTCAGTAGATATGGGATGGGCCCAGTAACTGCATTTTTAACAGATTTATCTGATAACGGTCAGGGGATAACCATTTTGACAAAAACCAGTGAAGCTCCTCAGGCCTCACCATTGCTAACAGAAAGAAATTAATCTAGTTATAGTATGTTTTTCTAAACAGGTGACTCATCACTGCAACAACTAGTTTTGAAGGGTTCTGTGTCCTTAGTGACTAAGTCTGGACACTCACTTATCTAAGTAACTCTTCCCCAGTTGGCAGACTCACTCCTCTCCACCTCCTAACCGGCTAGAGGAGAGGAAGAAGGGGCAAAGGAAGACTGTCAGAACCCAGCCCACTGTCCTCGTGCATTGGGAGTAAAGCATGAGGAAGGCATTGGCTAGTCTGCCCTATGTTTTGGTGACTGAGGGCAGCTCAGTCAGAGAGACAGCACTGCCAAAACGAAACCAGGGAGGAAGGAAACCACACCACAGTGGAGACCTGTCATCTGGATCAGTCATAGCTGGTGGCACCACAAGAAGCAACCAGGCAAAGGTGAATCTGCCCAAAAGTACCATGGGAGGTAGTACATCTTTGTCCCAGGGAGGCCCTTTATCTCTGACCACAGTCAGGTCTAACTGCCAGGCCGCAGGACCTGCAGTAGGGAAGGTGGCCCTTGGATTCCAGCTCCCAAGCAGGGAGCTAGTAGTACAGTTTTCCTTTCTATCACAGGCCATAAAAGACAGGATTGTGCTGTTTTTCTTTGCCCCTACCCATCCCTTTCTCCATTCAGCTCCATTTAGTTAGGATAGAGCCCTCTGGGTGTCTAAATGACTGGCTTGGCAGGGTGATCACACTGTAAGGTATAAAAAAGTCAAATCACTATATTGCACACTTGAAATTAACATAACCAATACAATATGATATAACAACTATACATCAGTAAAAAATAAAAAATAAATAAGTGACTGGCTTGGCATTGCTGTTAATGTTTAGCTCTGTTGCCTCTCTCTCAGTTACCTCTCCAGATACCATTCAAAGGCCCTGCAAGTTTTGAATATTAAAAAACTTGCTCCAGTATTTTACTAAAAAAAATTCACCTTTTTCTTCTTGAAAATTTTAAAATATAAACACACAGATGATTAGTTTTACATGATATTACCCTTTTACATCAAAAATGTGTATTTAAAACAATTATGGAGATACACATAAAGCTAGCCATATTTCAAAATGATGCCAAATAAGTTAAAGGGATAAGTCTTTAAAAATCAACCAGGAAAAATTGAAAGAGCAAAGAAGAGAGAAAGAGTTGTATTTTCATCAAAACTTAGGAGATGAAACACCTTTCCAAGCTTATGAGCAATCCAAGAAATCGCAAAGAGAACAACGGTCACATATGACATAGTTTAGACTTCTGAATGTTAAAAAAGGGAGGAAACAAACTAGGGGAAAGCATTTTTAATAAATATGTAGTAAAGTTTAAGATCTTTGTCACCTAAAGAAAGTTGGTAACAAAACCAGGAGGCTCTGACACATGGGAAAAACATCACTCTGCCTAGCAGCCAGAGAAGAGCAAAATAACGGTGATATATTCTTTTTTGTTCTATTAAATGATAATGTTTAATATTAAAATGAGAATGTTTATAATATTATTGAGTAATAGCTCTAAAACAACTTAAATATCTGACAGTATTGGAATTATTAAGTCAACTATCCCATAGAATATTGTTCAGACATGAAAATTTTGTGCATGCCACAAAAAATCTTTGTGAAGAGTATATAATAATATTTTAAAAAACATATTAACACTCATCCTGGCTGTTGTGGCTCATGAATTGAATGGTGGCCTATGAACCTAAAGGTCACCAGTTCAATTCCCAGTCAGGGCACATGCCTGGGTTGTAGGTGGGGTCCCCAGTTGAGGTCATGTAAGAAGCAGCCAATTGATCGATGTTTCTCTCCCTCTCTTTCTTCCTTCCTTCCCCTCTCTCTAAAAAACAAACAAACAAAGCCCCCCACCCAACTTGTTAACAGTCAACTAAAAAACCCACAAAATTTCTCAGCAGACCCACTGGAGAATAAAAAAGAACATTGACCCTTTCCTAATATCATTCAAAAACACTTAAATGTGAAAGTTAAAACAAAGTTTTTAGAAGAAAACAGAAATACATTTCCATGACTTTGAGATAGGCAAAGGTCTTTTAAAATAGGTCACAAAAACACCAATCCTAAAAAATTAATAAATTGGACTTCCTTAAAATTAAGAATTTCCACTGTTCAGAAGAAACTATTACAAGAATGAAAAGGTAAGCTCAGACTGAGAAAAGATATTTGTAATACAGGTATTCGCCAAGAGACTCATACCATAAATATAAAGAATTCCCATCAGTAAGAAAAAGACAATAATTTTTTTACTTTAAAAAAAGACCTAAACAGTTATTTTATAAAAGAAGATACCCAAAGGTTCGCCAAACATAAAAAGGTGCTAAATATCTACAATTGTCAGGGAAAAAAAATCACCAAAAGGGCTAAAATTAACAGTATTGATGATTACAAGTATTAGTAGAGATAAATGGTTGGAACTCTCATACACTGCTGTTGAGTGGAGTCCAAGCACTTTGACAAGCAATTTGGTGTTAGCTATTAAACATCCACCTACCCTATGACACAGAAATTGCACTCTTGGATACATATTCACTAGAAATGCTTATAATCATGGAAAGAATGTTCAGAGCAGCCTTGTTCATAATGGCCCAAGCTGGAAACAGCCTGCAGGGGAAGTCAGGGATGCAACATGGTTCCAGCAGTAAAGGCTCCAGGAAAATGTTGGATTCTCTAACTTTCTGTGACAGTTTAACTCTCTGTAGCCGCAGGCTAACTGATAGTGATTGAGAAAGGTGGATTGCCTCCTGAGGATAAATGTCGTGCTGGGAAGGAGGTTAATGAATGTACAAGTGTGGATAACTGACTGATGTTATCTGTTAATTTAGAAATGCACGTTCTTCTGGTGGTTTCTGTGGCAACCCACCACGTGGTATTACTATTAATCCCCTATAAAAAGAGACCCTTTTCAGAGAGGCGTGTTGATTTCTTCCCAGTGGGCCACCACTGAGAGCAAGCAGCTGCTCTGCCTGTGTAGGTAAGTTTCTCCCATTAAAGCTCTTATAAATTTGAATAAGGTTCTGTGTCAGTGCTTCAGAATCAATTCTGAATTTAGACTTTTGAGGCTTTCCCCAACATAGCTCATATGTTTTTCAGTAAGAATACAGACAAGTGAATTGTGATATATTCACACAAGGGAACATCACACAGAGATAAAAAAGATGACCTACTGATACATGCAATGGAACTGATTACTCTTAAAAACATACTGATGAATGAACGAGGCCAGACCCAAGAGCACAAACTGTTGGATTTTGTTTTTATGAATTGAAGAACAGGGAAAATTAATCTATGAAGGCGGCAGAGGTTAGAATAGTGGTGTTTGTAGGAACATTAAGTGAGTAAGTGGGGAAAGTGTGAGAGACCCCCCCTACTCCCCGCTGGATGCTGGAAATGTTGCATGTATTGACATGGGTGTCGGTTCCACAGTTGTACACATATGTAAAAATTCACCAAGCTATATACTTAAGATCATTGTCCTTAAATGCACACCTTAAAAAGAAAACTTATGTGGACAAAACAGAATGAAAAATAAACACAGTAAAATTATAACCATGTTTAAGGGATTTACTTGGGGAAAGAAAGATACAAAAAAGTTGAAGAAAAGAGTGAGGCACTAGTATCTTTATCTGACAAAATGGAAAGTCAAGAAGCATTATCGATAGTGGAATAGAAAATAAACTATAGGTATAATACATAAACCTATAGATATAACCAACCAAAAATACTGACTTAATTATATGGAGAGAAGGAAAGAAGTTTGGTGCTAAGTGGGTTAAATCCTCATGTATCACAGAGGCAGCCACAGGTGATGCCCGAGGCTGGTACCCAGGAAATAAAAGTGTGTGCAGACTGGCACAGGCGATGTGACGGTAACTATCAAAAGAACCTTCAGCTAAAAAAGGAGGGGGATTAGAAATGAGAATGGATGTCAGGGGATTGTTGACTTTCATTAGCAACCCTTTTGTACTATTTGAATTTTTAACCACGTTCATGCATTACTTTGATACAATGAAAATATTAAAAAATTCCTACACATACTAAAAAAAAATTAGCAATGATGTCTTTGGGTAATGAGACTGTGGGTCGTTTTTGCTTTTTTTTCTACTTTTTCCAATTATTCTATAATAAACATGTATTTTTAAAAAATGTTTTTAAAAGGATACATTTTGCCAAACATATGCTAATATGAAAGATTCACATGATCTCACGCTTACAAAAACAGGACATAAAATTGTAGGTATAGTGCGATTTCTAATGTTACATAAAGACACAA